TTTTTTTGAGACAGGGTCTCACTCTGTTGCCCAGGCTAGAGTGCACTGGCATGATCAGGGCTCACTGCAGCCTTGACTCCCAGGCTCAATAGATCCTCCCACCTCAGCCTCTCGAGTAACTGGGACCACAGGTGAGCACCACCATGCTCCGCTAGTTTTTTATATTTTTTTGTAGAGATGGGGTTTTGCCATATTGCCCAGGCTGGTCTTGAACTCCTGGGCTCAAGCAAGCCACCCACCTTGGCCACCCAAAGTGCTGGATTACAGGCATGAGCCACTGTACCCAGCCAAATTTTTTTTTTCCTTGAGACAGAGTCTTACTCTGTCACCCAGGCTGGAGTGCAGTGGCACCATCTTGGCTCACTGCAACCTCCGCCTCCTGGATTCAAGTGATTCTCCTGCCTCAGCCTCCCAAGTAGCTGGGACTACAGGCACCCATCACCACGCCTGGTTAATTTTTGTATTTTTAGTAGAGACAGGGTTTTGCCATGTTGGCCAGGCTGGTCTCGAACTCCTGGCCTCGAACTCCTGACCTCATAATCTGTCTGACTTGGCCTCCCGAAGTGCTGGGATTACAGGCACGAGCCGCTGCGCCTGGCCCTAGATTTTTATTTTCCACTCTTTTGCCCAGGCTGGTATGCAGCAGCATGATCACAGCTCACTGCATCCTCCACCTCCTGGGCTCAATCCATCCTCCCAGCTCAGCCTCCCAAGTAGCTGGGACCACAGGCGCACACCACCATGACTGGCTAATTAAAAAAAAAAAAATTTTTTTGTAGAGATGGGGATCTCCCTATGTTGCCCAGGCTGGCTACTACACCTGGCCCCCCATTTTTTTTTTTTTTTTTGAGACAGAGTCTGACTCTGTCACCCAGGCTGGAGTACAGCAGCACATCTCAGTTCACTACAACCTCTACCTCGTAGGTTCAAGCTATTCTCCTGCCTCAGCCTCCCTAGTAGCTGGGACTGCAGGCATGTGCCACTATCCCTAGCAAAATTTATATTTTGTGTAGAGACAGGGTTTTGCCATGTTGGCCAGGCTGGTCTCGAACTCCGGACCTCAAGTGATCCACCCACCTTGACCCCAGATATTTTAAACCAGTATTTTCTCTTATCTTACTTCATACTGGAAATGATGTATGTTATTTCCTGCCTTGCACCAGAGCTCATTGTTCTCTCTTGTTTGCCCACACTCCAGCAAATAGCATACTGTAGCTACCATGGCAAGTGACAGAGTTCAACAGACTTGGTCATGAAAATGTAATCAGAATTTATGGCTGATTTCTTTCTTCCCTGACATCATAAAGTTGGGAAACAGTGAGAACAAAAACAAAGACTTTTCCCCAGTTCTTTCTCCTTGGGCTGGTTAGACAACTTTCTCCACTCAGAGGTCATTATTTGGAATTTGTCATTCTTTTCTTTAACTTTTTTTTTTTTTTTTTGGACACAGAGTCTTGCTGTGACACCCAGGCTGAAGTGCAATGGCATGGTCTCGGCTCCCTCCAACCTCCGCCCCCCAGGTTCAAGCCATTCTCCTGCCTCAGCCTCCCAAATAGCTGGGATTACAGGCACGTGCCACCACACTGGGCTAGTTTTTGTAGAGATGGGATTTCACCATGTTGGCCAGGCTGGTCTCGAACTCCTGACCTCAGGTGATCTGCCTGCTTTGGCCTCCCAAAGTGCTGGGATTACAGGCGTGAGCCACTGCATTCGGCCATACTTTCCTTAATTCAGTTCGGTGACATACAACAAATGCATGTTGAAAGCTTATCTTGTGCCAGACACTGTGCCTGGCATTTGTGGTTCAAAGTCAAAACCTTTGTCCTTAAGGAGTTCATAGACTAGAAGAGACGGAATCCTAAACAAATAATATGATATGAGCTAGACTAGAAGTGTGTACAAACTCTAGAGGAAACGTTTAGTTACGCCTGGGGAAATCGGGAAACCTCTTAAAGGAGAACTAGGCCTTCACCAAATGGGGAAGGGGGACAGGGTTCTAACAATATGCAACTGTACTCTGAAAGGATCACAGAGAGACTGTCCTGAGAAAAGGCTTGCTTTCATGTTGAGCAAAGCTAAAGCAAGAGGATTGCATTTTAAATACTTAAAAAGTTAATTTGTTGTTTTCTTTTTCTTTTCTTTTTTTTTTTTTTTTCATTTCTTCTCTCTCATTACTTACTTCTTGAGGGCTTGGTAAGTACCATTTTAAGGTTAAATGTAATACCCTGTAGACTTCTAATTTAAGACTCAGCCTTACCCCTACAAATGATTTGCTAGTTTTGCTTTTTGTTTTTGAGACTCAAGAAAGACAAGGAAGAATCAGTGTTTGAGAATAAGTTGACAAGACTTTACTACCCTGAAGCATTTTTATTAATTGAAATACAGAAACTACTGGTGGCCAACAGTTAAAATAAGGAGTCACTAGTCAGCGAAACTTACAGATACTTTTTTTAAAAAACATTGTTACCTTCCCATCCCCATTATGTGGCTTTTGGATTTTTTTCATTGCCTTAGGCACTTGCCTTTTACTCTTTTGTTTTTGTTTTTGTTTTTTTGAGACAGAGTCTCACCCTATTGCCCAGGCTGGAGTGTAGTGGTGAAAACAAAGCTCACTGCAGCCTCAACCTCCTAGACTCAAGCGATCATCTTGTCCCAGCCTCTTGTGTGACTGGGACCACCATGCCACCACGCCTGGCTAATTTTTTTTTTCTTCGAGACAGGGTCTTGCGAAGCCTTGACCTCTTGGGCTTAAACAATCCTCCCACCTCAGTCACTCAAGTAGCTGGGACTATTGGCATGCACCACCATGCCCAGCTAATTTTTAAAATTTTTTTTGTGGAGGTGAAGTCTCACTATGTTGCCCAGGGTGGTCTTGAACTCCTGGGCTCAAGTGATCCTTTTGCCTTGGCCTCCCAAAGTGCTGCGATTACAGGCATGAGACACCACTCCTGGTGCATTTGATTCTTTTGATTTTGCAGAAGTGGTCTATCGTACATCAAGGGGACTTTGGTGAACCTTAGGAAAGCTGGTTATGAGTTTTAAAGCCTCTCTCCACACCCTTACCCCAGATTCTTTTGCAAAATTTGGCTGCACAGAGTAATCAGGAGTTGTGTTATGGTAACTGGCTGTGGAGCATGGCATGTCTTAATTCCTAGAAGGGTATCTTAGCTGAGATAGGTTGTCTCTACCCTAACTAGACCTTTGGAGGGAAAAAAGGCAGTCTTAACAAAAAGCCTCATTGTATTCATATCCTGTTTCCAATGAGGGACAGATAGTTTCTTAAAGAAAACACCCATTTAACAAATTGCCTAGGATGAAATAATTATTCTTACTTTTGAATCTATCATATGAATTGTGTATTTCATTTGGGTTATTGGAAACATCTTATATTTTATTGGTCATGACTGGCTCGAGCAGATTGTTAATGTGCCCTGAGTTTTCCTTTTCCTGCATAATAGACCCAATTGTTTTCTTGCCTTAGAGTGAGCAGGAAAAACAAGAGCGTCTGGAAACCCAAAGGGAGAAGCAGAAAGAACTGATACTGCAGCTCAAGACCCAGCTAGATGACCTGGAAACGTTTGCCTATCAAGAGGGCAGTTACGACTCGCTGCCACAGTCTGTGGTATTGGAAAGACAGCGGGTGAGCAGACCCCAGAGGCACCTCCACCACTGCCCAAGGTTAACTTGTCCCTTCCAGCATTCACAGGGCATCCTCTCTCAGCTCAGTTCTCCTTTGGCCTTACTGAGAATCCCTCTGCTGGCCCAAATCAAAGGGAAATTTTACTACTATAAGGAACCATTCTTTGCTCATACATGGAAAACACAGGTTCCAAAGTTTTGTAATGTAATAATTGAGCTCTTTCTTTTTGGTGGTTGTAATTAATAATAGAAATAAGAATATGGCCGGGCGCGGTGGCTCAAGCCTGTAATCCCAGCACTTTGGGAGGCCAAGACGGGTGGATCACGAGGTCAGGAGATCGAGACCATCCTGGATAACACGGTGAAACCCCATCTCTACTGAAAATACAAAAAACTAGCCGGGCGAGGTGGCGGGCGCCTGTAGTCCCAGCTACTCCGGAGGCTGAGGCAGGAGAATGGTGTAAACCCGGGAGGCGGAGCTTGCAGTGAGCTGAGATCCAGCCACTGCACTCCAGCCCGGGCGACAGAGCGAGACTCTGT